TGCCACCAGTCTTTTGATGCAGTCAAAGAAGCTCTCACTTCCGATCTACTCTTGACTCACTTCAACCCGAATTTCAAAATTGTCGTTGCTACGGATGCTTCAAATTATGGTGCCGGTGCAGTTATTTCCCACGTTTTTCCGCATGGAGGAGAGAAGGCTATCGCGCACGCAGCACGATCACTAACGCCATCTGAAAAGAACTATAGCCAGATAGAGAAGGAAGCGCTCGCGATTGTTTTCGCAATGAAACGGTTCCATAAGATGCTGTATGGCAGACATTTCACCCTCCTGACTGACCACAAGCCTCTTCTGTCGATATTCGGTTCAAAGAAAGGAATTCCAGTTTTTACGGCAAGCCGATTGCAACGATGGGCGACCATACTACTGGCCTACGACTTCAGTATACAGTATAAACCGACGCAACTAATCGGCCAAGCGGATGCCCTGTCTCGTCTCATCAGTTCACACCCAAAGGAGAATGATGATTGTGTGCTTGCAGCTATCAGTTTCGAAGCAGAAGTCCAACGAATCCTGGCTGATCATGTGAGAAGACTACCAGTAACAGCCGACACTATTCGTATGGAGACATCACGGGACAGAATCTTGGAGAAAGCGATGCACTGGGTACGAACATGTTGGCCAAATGGAGGCATACCTATGGAATTGCGGCCGTTTTACCATCGACGTGCATCCCTGTCAGTCGTGGACAATTGTCTGATGTTTGGAGATCGAGTGGTGGTGCCAAGAAAATTGCAGAGGCAAATTTTGCAGCAGTTCCACACGGGGCACCCTGGTACCAGCCGCATGAAAGCCTTGGCACGCAGCTTTGTTTACTGGCCAGAAATGGATTCGGAAATTGAAAAATTCTGCCAACAGTGTGAATCTTGTCAACTTGCAGCGAAGGCACCTCCCAAGTGTCAGTGGCAACCTTGGCCTAAGGCGGAGAAACCGTGGCAACGAATACACGTAGACTATGCAAGACCGATCAATGGCCACTCCTATCTCGTTTTGGTTGATTCATTCACCAAGTAGCCTGATGTGATTCCGGTAAACAATCCGACTGCACAGCACACTATCAACGAGCTGGAGAAGCTGTTCCGATACTTCGGCCTGCCAGAGGTGTTAGTGACAGACAATGGAACACAATTTACCTCGACTTCTTTTCGCGAGTGGTGCAAAGAAAAGGGAATTCATCAGATGTTCTCACCACCATATCATCCTCAATCAAACGGACAGGCGGAAAGGTTTGTGGACACGTTCAAACGTGCACTCTGTAAAGCAGGGCAAAAAAGGGCTTCACAGGATGCAATTCAAGCTTTTCTATGCATGTATCGGAACGCTCCGAATCCAAACTCCCCTGATGGGAAAGCCCCCACAGAAGTACTATTTGGAAGAAAGATCCGGACGTTGTTTGATAATCTTTTACCAAGAAGAATAGAAAAACACGACAACAGTCACCAGGAGGAAGTTTGCAAGATCAAGCTCCGTAACTTCAATGTTGGTGACATGGTCTACGCCCGAGATTTTCGAAGGCCAAAGGGGTGGTCTAGTGGAACGGTTATCGGAAGGAAAGGCAGAGTTATCTACGAGGTGATGGTTGGACGTGAGAGATGGATTAGGCACATCAATCAGCTGAGACCGCATCATGGCAAAACCCAAGGTCCTCAGGAACCACCAGCTTTACATTGGGACATCCTACTAGACACGTTCGGGTTGGAAGCTGAATGTCAGCAACCAGGTGAGACGAAACAAATGCCGCAGAAATCAAATGCACCATGCAGGCCGGCGCGGAAGCGGAGAAGGCCACAACGGCTGCAAATCAATCCCCGGGCGAAAACCTACGAACACACTCACGTTCGAAGGGTGTGCAGGCTGACTCAATTCGGAAGGGGAGGTGACAGTTGGACGAGAAAGCTGAGAGCCGACGCTCGCGCGTTTACCACCAAGCGTGCTTGGGAAGGACTATACGAGCGTGCTACCAGGGTCCAGCCGAAATCTGATCAGACACCAGGCGTGTTGCCAAGGCCAGACCGGAAGCTGATGAAATCACGCGTCAGACATCACGTGCGTTGCCATGCGCCGGGTAGGCGAACGCAAACTGTAGTACTCGAGCAACACGGTGAATCGGACAGATGCAGCGGACAAGTAGGTGTGCAGCGTGGGCTTAGAGCCAAATCCGCCTGGTGATAGTGACATATAAATATGACCGTTCTTTGCCTTAATACAACTCTGGTCTGCTGAGTAGTCTTCTGTCTTCGTTCCGGTCGGGTTTGCCAAGGCGTAAATCAGAGCACGCGTGAAGGCGCAGATTTAGCAACAGGCGGGAATCAACCAGGCGAGAGCGAGCAGGCCGCGCAGCGTTACAACAATATGACGTGGCGGATGTGACTCACCACTAAATATTCACTACCCCTCCCTTTGCTTTGGTTGCTCATTGTACTCTAGCAAGTATGTATTTACGTTACGGTGAGGATTTGCACCCTGTTTGGAAATATCCGATAAGTACTGAGAATGTTAACTGAAAGATCTTCAGATCGGACAGACGTGGCCGTCCGCTGAGCCGCATAATTTTATTGTACAGACCTTAGTGACTCGCCTGCGTGCTTCGCATGCATACTAAGCCTTTGTATCAACGTGTTCTCTTTATGCACACGGAAGTCGGCTGAAAGAGAAGACAAGGTGGTCAGCGAATGACTTGCGCCAAGGGTATAAGGGTGCTGACTTCACATTTGGAACCGGTTGGGCGCTCTCGATTCCATGATTAGGGGCGCAAGGATCACGAACCTACACAGCTGGAAACCCTATCGGATATGTCAAGAAACCGTGGTCAATGTCGAACCTGTTGTAGGACTGTACCGCCCTAACAGTTGCTTTACACCATTTTTAATCCCCATATTACGATGGGAAGACCGTGTGAGCAACGAGCGTGTTCGACGCCTTGTTTATGGCACAGGAAAAGGAAATGAACCGCTCAGCAACGTCATTTCACGCATCAGGCTTCGATGGCTCGGCCACGTGTTGCGCATGCCAACCCATCAACTTCCACGACGTGCGTTTGCTCACCGGAGATGTGGATGGAAGAAGAGGATGGGTGGCCAAGCGATGACTTGGTCCAGAGGAATGAACGCCCTCACTTCTGAGCTGGCCTCGGTTGGAGCGTCTCGGCTCCCAGGTTGGGGTCCGAAAGACGATGAACACGTTTGGTTGGACGCACTTGCTGATATGGCTAGGAGGCGACCTCAGTGGCGTTCGTGCTGTGAGTTTCTTTTTCCCACCCTTCCCTCTTAGTCTCCCCCTCCAACCACGAATTCATTATTTAGCCTTATATAATTTTGCATAGTAATTTTTTTATGCACAGTAGCAGGCTGGTAGCATAACGAAACGATGCCCATCCGTTACCGGTAGCTCAGTCGGCTTGCGTCAGTTGCATTGTTTTATTCGCTCCCTTTTTCGGCGTATTGCGGAACAGTAGCTGAGGTGTTCCCCACCTCTAGCTAACGTGCATGATTATATATATATATATATATATATATATATATATATATATATTTCGAATTTGCCTGTAACTGTAGCCAGCCACAGCACACCTGCGCCTACAGAGTGACCATTAGTGGCTTGCGCTGCACCACCCACATCTCCAACCACACAACACATATCCAGTGTAAACCCGAAGGAATAAGACCGGGAGGCAAGTGGATGGGAGCCAGGTTTCATCAACGGAGCCGACCCACACTCCTTCAGAGTTAAACACATGTGCGGTGTATTTGGGAACCAAGCGCAAAAAAGCCGGTGGTTAGACAGTAGTCCGCTCCACACTGGGTGCATGGAACCACTCTTCGATCCTAGCACGATCACAAGGACCGTGCACCCCGTCCCCTGCAGCTATGATCAACTGTCTCCCGGAGCCAGTATGGACGCGGTAGTGGGTAATAGACAGATTGGCACCTTGACAACATGCACATTTAGCGCAGCCACACCGGGAATATCAAGCAACAACCAATAACTTGAAGTGACGAGAACAATTACATATATATATATATATATATATATATATATATATATATATATATATGAATAAGTGTTCAGAGATGTACTGGTATACTTTGTACGAACTGCAACAACACGAGGAAGAGTTCGGCCCTGCGGATACCACGAGATAGGTTATACTACAGAGCGCACTTGCTCAGCAGCGAAACGGTAAATGCACTGATTCCGACGAGATAACGCCGAATGTGTTGAATCACGGCGAACCGGCGTTGTGACATGCGCTGCATCCCTTAGTGCAAAGCCTGTGATTTGAAGAACAGCTGCCAACTAAGCCGAAGGATGCCCACGTACTTTTGCTGTACAAAGGAAAAGGGAGTAAACAAATATATACTGGTCACAACTTGCTAAATTATGCTATGGCAGCCTGAATCGTACTCAATTTCCACTTCACACTGGTTCTTGAACAAAAGGTGGATGGTTAGTAGTACGGATTCTCTTCGGGCCGCAACACCATATATATATATGTGGTGTTCGCGGCTCGTCCGTTGTAGAAATGCCGTTTGCGAAGTCCGCTACGGTACTCCCAGTTCCACGGTTCCACCCAAAATCAGTTACCGTGCCTCCTGATTCACTATGTAATAATATGTGCAAATAGCATTTGTCGGAGGTGGCTGTTTACTCCCAACTGCTTTTCTCATCCAGAAAGCCGTTGGGGTGAATTACCTTGTACTCACTGCAACGGGCTTTCCCCGAAGCTCTAATGTGCTACACATAATCCAAAGCACACGCACATGTATGATAGAAAGCATTATGTAATTCGGTTATCACCGCCAAGCTAGTCTGCTTCCTCTTTATGGAGAGTGCAGACGTCTACGTAGCAAGCATTATTTGTTAAAAATCTAGAATAGTATTTCTGCGTTTAAACCTATGTAAGGACTTCTACTGTGTTAAAGCGGAACTCGAGGAGAGTTTGTTTGCAACTTAACGCAGAGCAAAATATTGCCACGACTTACCTTTAACATTGTGCAGACACACCAACTGATACCAAAGGTTGATGGGAATGAGTGAACTGCCGTAGATTCCTGGGGGAAAACCGTATTTATAGCTTCGGAAGGTCGGGTTTTCCATCCGATCAAACGAACGAAATGCATACGCGTACCAGCGAGGCTCAGGTTTGTAAAATTTTCTATCTAGTAGTCGGTCTAGATTTTCAGATTCCTCGCCAAGGGTTTTCTGGGCGTAAAGCAACAGTGACACTGTCAGTGAAAGCAGCGACATTGTGATAGGACGTGATCTAATGCATCGAATGCTAGTAAGGAGTATCGGTTACGCGGAAATCAATAGCTCACATCGATTGGCTGTTTTAAACCCTCTGCAATTCGCAGTACCATCCTTTCGGTATATTTGGTCCCTGTGGTTCAACATAGCAGTTGTTGCGCCTTGAAATAAGGGACAATTTTAGTAAAACTCGTTACAATCCCAGCAACATGTGCTAACGAAATCTATTGGAGGGCGACCTGTTATGTGCTTGGAATTGAATGTGACGTCAAAGGCTAGTAAGGTGTAACACAGAGCTGAGCATCTATCCAGTTGAATACCGAGGAGATATCTTTGGATTAACAGACTTCGTTAGTTGTCTGGTTTTGGAACACCCGCCGTGTGTCTTGGACTGCGACATGCAGAGATGGGAGAGTACAACAACGTAACCCTCAGACTTCAGTAAACCGATGGAAGCGGGTTCACCACCTGCAATAATCCTAGGCTGCTGTCCCGTGGAAATTGTTTTTCGACAAATCGCATCAACACTGACCGTCACAAAATCAACGGTTGCGTGGTTCCTGTTTCGGTGCACTCGCCAGTATACTGCATCGTGAAAGCGCAACCAGGATCGTAAAGAAGATGCATTGTATATACGGGACTGCAGGCAGGTTGATTCAGGATTGGCAAAGATCAAAGTTTACAATGTAGCTTTGCATTCGACCCACCTGGAAGGATTCAACACTTGGCCCATCAAGTCTACAGATAAAAACAAGCTTTTAGGTTCGACCGTCGTTGCCTTCGCAGATCAGCTCATGTCTGGTGAGAGCATTGTTTGAGCCATGATGGTGTTCAAAGTCTTGTAGTTGATGCAGGAATAGAGAGTGAACTGCCCAGTGTCATTATATCACGCAGCAAGCGCAGATGGTTGGGCAACGTGTTGCTCATGTCAGCACACCGACTCCCGCGTCGTGCATTGTTTGCGCGGCGAAGTGTGAATGGAAGAGGAGGCGGGGCCAACCGATGACTTAGTCAAGAAGAATCAAGGCCCTTAGTTCGAAATCGGCGTCCGTTTGTGACTCACGACTGCCGGGCTGGGGTCCGAAGGACAATGAACACGTCTAGTTGGATACGGAAGTTGACATGGCGAGAAGCCGACCGCAATGGCGTTTGCATCGTGAATTTCTTTGCCCCCTCCATCCAGCTTATCTTGCTCGTTCAACCACGGCCTCTGTTTCGAACCGCAAGTGGTATATTACCTGTTGTCACTTTGTATTCAAGAATGTTCTTATCATGTTTATCACTGTTTTTTCGACCTTCTAATGATGACTATAACAGAGTTAATACAATTGGAGATAAAAGGAGTGAAATAACAAATTTTCAATGCATGCGGGACAGGACGGGAGAGGGTCTAGGGACGAAACAAGTTTCCGCCTAACGAGTGTCCTCTTTCATATGCCAGTAAGCGGTAAAGAGCTCCCAGCACTGTGATTTCACAGAACGTTGTTGATTCTATAATGGAAAAAAGACAGAAGCAAGTGCAAGAGAGCCAACACACTTTCATGAAGTTATGAGATTAGAGAAAGTCACCAAAACTCATGGAAATTCTGGGGACAGCGCAAACCAATTTTTGTCTACGCTGTGTTCGAATTCCTCTACCTTTTCTTATTTCGATAAAGCAGAGGGAAGTTTGTTCCAACTAGGCACAACCCGGTTTGTGTAGAACCTGACTCTTAACTCTATCCTAGACCTTTGCTGTTTCAATTTCATGTAATGGCCTCGCAAATTGCCTGATGTAGCGTAGAGTAGAGTAAAAGCAGCAGTCTACTGAATGGACATTGAGCCAAACAAAACCATGGAAAGCACTAGAAGAATACATGTTTATTCAACGCATCATCATCATGGCACATTGGCTGAAGGTGAGAAATAATCTATAGCTATTGTGCTGCACACACCAGTGGTTTCACTTTTTAGGCTTATTCAAGCGTTAAGCATTAACCATCTAAATCTAAGCCATCATGCACTCTGGTCTTGCGCTGGTTTCTTTTGCGCGCCATATCCTGAATTACAGAAGATTAGTAGGGGGAGTTGAATGGTACAGGTAGAAATTCGTCACATCTAGACTCAATCAGACAGCCGTCACACGCCCGGAAAAGCACTGTACGCGCGTTTCCTCCTTTCGGGAATCGTCAGCAGTGCGCATTCCATCGGACCCTGGTAGGGCTAGAACCCGCAACTCGACAGTTGCCAGTCCGTGGTTGAGACCACTGAGCTGCGGGGTTTGAGCCCTACCAGGGTACAATGGAATGCGCACTGCTGACGATTCCCGAAAGGATGAAACGCGGGTACAGTGCCTTTCCGGGCGTGTGGCGGCTGTCTGAGTGAGTCTAGATGTGACGAATTTCTACCTATACCATATCCTGAATTATTTCACGTGATCAACATTCATCGTCCTTTGCTCCCCAAGCAGGCAGACGTGTGGATAGATCGAACGGTGGCAAGACGCATAGTCAACGATTACATATGCTGTTGCCAGGTGGATGGCTGGCCACCACGTCCTCTCTTCCAGCCAAGTCCAGCAGGAACGAGAAGGGTGCAGTGGAGCAAACGTTCAGCTGACATGCGCAGAACGTAACCGAGTCATCATAACTGACGTAGAAAAATCAGCTAGTTGAAGGGAATAAACGCATTCCCTAAGACAAGACGTCTGATTTCACAGTTGCAAATAAGCTGTTGTCACTCCACACAAGCAATCCTCCTCAAGCACCCATTGTCGAAGGCCGAGAGCAGGCGCATGTCGCCTACACGAACTGGTCATGACTCGCTTCCATCTAGCAACTTGGCCCTACAGTGGCATTGTAAACACGACTCTTTACCAAGTGGGAGACATCCTGGCGAAGCCACAAGTGGTTCAAGTTGACAAATGTCGACCGAGCTTTGGCGATGCGAAGAGAAACTTCCTTTCCAATGGTACCACCAGCAGACACAGCTGCCCAGGTAGACAAAGCTATCCGCTTGTTCAAGCAGTGTACCTTCAATAGTGAGCTTAGTGAGGGGAGTGTGCCAATCAGGAAGTAACACTTTACTCTTTGACTGGGAAAAGCGCATTCCGTACTTAGATGCCTCAATTGCCAAATGGTTTAGAATGGTTTGCATGCTCTGTGAGTCGTCAGCAAGTAAGGCGATATCATCGGCATAATCTAAGTCGGTCGCTCGCTTACCCGGTAGTAGCTGTAGACCAAAATTTTGGTAACCGTCTAGAGCTCTCGACAGGACGTCTTCAACTGCAAAATTGGGAAGGAACGGGGACATAGGGCAGTCCCGTCGTACACCGCCATTTACAGCGAAGGACAACGAAAGCTCGCCATACACCCTCACTCTGCCGGTGATGCGGAAATACAGTGCTTGTGGGATGGCTCTGTACTTTTCTGTGACACCGTTCTTCAGCAAACAAAGCTATAGCTCACGTGGATCAGGCGAGTCCAATGCAGCATGGATGTCTAAGAATGCAATGACGATAGGCCACTGGTAAAGGTGGCGGTGTTCCAGAATTTGGCGGAACGGGATTATTTTACTCACACAACAGCAGCGAGGTCGGAAGCCAGCTTGTTCTTCGCGGTACTTCGATTCACGATTAGGAGAGAGTCTGCGGAGTAGAATGGATGTCAATCAGACTAATACAATGGTGATTAATACATGAATTGTGAGCAGCCTCTTGAAACTCGGGACAATATCTGACTCGTCCCAGTAAGATGGTACCTTTCCTTCAAGCCAGATGTTGGGAAACGATGAGGTTAGCTAGATAATGATAACTGAACCTCCGAAGAAAATCCATGAGAACCGACAGCCTTCAATCATCTCAAGTGTTGAATAGCAAGGCAAACTTCCGCTTCACTGGGAGGATACGACCCAGGGCGGAGAGTTGGGTTCGCAATGTATACAAGTGGATGGTGAGGGCTCATTGAACTGGGAATGAAAATGTTCGGCCCATCGATTCAAGCGTTTCTGTAGGTCCGCAATCGGCGAACCATCCGGCTTCGCAGTTAGTTACACTGACTGCAGGCTTTCTGTGACCAGTGTACCGAATGAGCTGCGAGATCTTACGAGTATTGCCAGAGAGGGCAACGGCCTCCACTTCCTAAACACACTGAGACCACCAGAATCCACGCTCACTGAGTAGGTTTCCTTTGAGATGCCGACAGACAGAACAGCGCAATTCAGTATGGTGAGATTGCATAAATATTTCCGCTGTGCTCAAATGTATCTAAAGAGTGCGTGGAGATCCAGGTTTTCATGGAGTGATGAGTAGGATCACAGAGATCTTGGGGCTCTGCATAAACATCAATGTCTTGAAGAGGGTCCCAACTGAATGCACCGGCCAGGGAAGATTGATAGCCCTGCTGAACCGAGAGAGTAGGTAGTATATGTGTATCAATCTTACAGTGCTTCGTTTTTTAGGGACCCTCTAAAACTCATTCGTATGTTCGCATAAACAAGAGCATGGTCTGAGCCAAGAAATCTGGATAAGACGGATCTGCAGTCTTTTACACTAACCCGGATCTGAAACTGATTGCGATATGATCAATCAGAATAACAAGGTTGGGACGCAGAAAGGGAGCGCCAAGTAGCGGAAGGTTTCCACCAATACCGAAAACTGGTGCTCGAAAGTAACAGATGATCATCTTCGCACAGTGTGGAATTCTCTCTCCATTACCTGAGCTGCAGGCATCAAGTTCATGGTGACCAATGACGTGACTTTACATGACAATAGGCGACGGAACAGTGCTTTAAAATCCCCAGCAAGGACAACAATATGGGATTTCATTAACGCAGTAAGAAGACGTAGGTTGCGATATGTTAACATTTCGATTGCTCTCGTCAGTCGCTACGCAATACAGGCAGAAAAGCACGCAATATATAGGATCCACACTTAGTAACATAGGTGAGCAGATAAAATTGATGAGAATGACGTAATCAGGTTCAAAGCAATCTAATTGATTGTCTCAGTTGTTTCTGGGCATAGAGAACGGGACACTTCAAGCTTATCAGTAGCGCCTCGCCAATTGCCAACAACCTCGGGTTCCTGTTGC